CTGGGGAGGAGCATTTAGGGGCCGGTAGGAGACTAGGGGACTTCTGTTTTTCTTGACAAATCTTGTGGAAGGTTTGACTCTTTAAACCATGAGTACATATCATTTTTTAAATAATAGAAAGTTTTAAAAAAAAGAAACACGCAAGAATACTCAAGAAAATTCTGAAAAAGAAAAGTGCTGAGCTGAGACTAGTTATACCAGACATTAAAATATTTTGCCAAGCCATGAAAATGAAAGCAGTTTGGTACTGGTACATATATGGTAGTGCAAAATAGAAAATCAAGAAATAAATACAAGTTTATGTAGAAATTGAGTACATGGTAAATATGACATTCCTCTTCAGTGGAAAAAATTATTCAACATCAGATAGTGTGATAATTAGCTGACCATCTAAAAATAATAATAAAAATAGACTTCTCTGTCACTCTTTACACCAAAATAATTTCCAAATAGATCAAATATTTAATTATTAAAAGTAAAACCACACAAGGACTTGAAGAAAATGTGTTATTACACTTTAAAAACTAATCTTCAAGTTTGTAAACAAGACACAAAATCCAAAAACCACAGTAGAAAAAATGACAAATTAAAAAATTTTTAGCTCTGTAAAACTGTATAGATAAAAGCAAAACCAGAAGCAGTCCATAAATGAAATAAAAGTCAAATGATTAGCTGGAAAAATTATTTATAGTACATAATATAATACAGATGACAGAAAAAGGTTAATATACTTTCTAATTAAAGAGACATCTATTACAAAAAGATAAACATTTCAATAAAAGCGAAAAAATTATTTAAAAAGATCATTCATTAAAGATAAAATACAAGTGGTTAAATATGCATAAAAGTGCTCAAGATCATTAAAACAACAGAATACCATTTTTGGTCTATTACATTGCCACAAGTAGTAAAGATACAACTAGTAATTGTACCTAATGTTGGGAAGTAGAGGATAAGTGGACAACTCATATATGGAAAGTGGAAATATAAATTAGCTCAGCTTTTCTGAAATTTTCTGATAATATGTATCAAGGGCCCTGTGTTGGGAAGTAGAGGATAAGTGGACAACTCATATATGGACAGTGGAAATATAAATTAGCTCAGCTTTTCTGAAATTTTCTGATAATATGTATCAAGGGCCCTTTGATCTAGCAATTCCACTTTTAGAAATTCATCTGTAGAAAATAATCAGATTACTGTACAAAGATCATGTATAAGAACGTACATAAGACATCAATGCTTATAAAACTGACACAATTCAACTGTCAGTAAGAGCTTGATAAACTAAATTATGGTATATATCTAATAGAATATCACATAGTTATAAAATAGTGTGGATTTATATTCACTGACATGGAAAGATGTCCATGATGTATTGATGAATGAGATAGCAAACCGACATATAGCAAATGCACAGTGGTCCTGTTTTAGTCAGTGTGTGTGTAAAGAAAAAACTCCATGAAGTGATGGACTCACTGCAGTGTTATAGTGGTTAACTTTAAACACGACGACCAATTGTTTTTACTGTCCTCACTTTTATTTTCTTTATATTGCAGTGTTTCTTTAATAATTTAAAAATACAAAGAAAAGAGAAAAGAATCTATAACATTTCATGATTAATAGGAACCCTGAGATCCAAAAGTGGGAATAGCTGGTCAGACAGGCAACACACGGAGGAAAAAGTAAAAACATGAAGATGACAAACACTACACTTCTGGAGATGGTTAAATTTAGGATAGGCATCTTTTTCTTGCTTTACAACATGGGACCTTCAACATGCTTTCTTGGGGACTCTTTAGTGCAAGACTATCAGTTTTGTCACTTTAATATTGGCTTTGATGTTTGCATAAGATCACAACTCAAAGTAAACATTTTAGAACTTATAAATATCTTTGACTTTGTATTTTTTAAAAGATAAATAGTAAAAAAAAAAAAGAAGAACCCAACAATTTTCAATTGCTGTAAGGGATTTTTTGGATGCCATTTAAAAACACACATCTCTTAATGTACTTTTGGCTGCAACATTCCTGGACTTTGCTGCTAAAGAGCCCAACAATTACACAGCACTTGACATTGCCTTTATGCTTTTCTGTAGCAGCATGTGTGCTTCGTGACCAAGTGAGAGGAACAGGAAGGAAAATAACTGATAGCAAACTTGTCTTTGATGTTCATCCAGCCACATGCTGTGACTGACCCTCCTCTTATCTATTTAGCTCTTGATGTGCAGCATAGGCTAGAGGGGAAGAACACAATCCGGCTAACTCCCACACAGTAGGACTGCCACAAAGGTTAGGGCAATTTTTTAAGCAAATGTGTCAAGACAATGTGCAGTTTGCTTTAAGCACTCTGCACGTAGTAGTCTGCATGCCAGAAGAATACTTCCTTCTGCTCCTTTGAATCTCTTTTGCTCTCTTCTCTTTATTTTGTCTTTTGCTTATAAAGACCTACATTTTAGGAAAAGAAACCTTAGCAGAATCTGTAGCACAAGAAGTTCTTCTTTAACCACCCAATTTATGGGTATCTCCAGTTCTTGGCACAGTGCAGGGAACACAGGCTCTAGAATGAGGCAGTGCCACCCCCACTCTCACCCCAATCAACCATCTTTGAAGAGAAGCCAGGAAGGCCCTGATGTGTGAAAGGACCAAAAGGCTCATGCACCACTTCAAGTTCAAATGATCTCAGAATAGGAAACTCATAATTCTGCTCATAACTGTTTATCCTACTGAATATTTTTTCCTTCTGAAAGAAGAGACTTAGAAAGTGAGAGAATTTGGTGCCTCTTTGGTGTCTCAAAATCAACTTCTCAACTTGGCTGAGGTCTAAAGCCTTGGTCTTCAAGTCTGTAAGATTCCTCTACCTCCAATCTGAACTCTGTCTTTCCTCACTGTTGCTCTGCACCAAACCATAAGTGACATGTATTTGTGGCTTAAATTCATATAATTTCTATTTTGTAAATTTTACATCCTTGATGTAAGCTCTCTGGAGTTAAAAATTCACACACATATGCAGCAAACACACAAACGCACACTAGAAGCTCAGGACATTAGAGAGTTGCTGACCATGCTAAGCCAAAGGTACTTTTTCAAGTCCTAGTAAATTTAATTTTGTATTTAAGTCAGTATTATTCTTTCAGTATTCAGCAAACACACAAACGCACACTAGAAGCTCAGGACATTAGAGAGTTGCTGACCATGCTAAGCCAAAGATACTTTTTCAAGTCCTAGTAAATTTAATTTTGTATTTAAGTCAGTATTATTCTTTCAGTATTTATTAGGCTAGACATGCTTTTCTTCTAGGAAAATGGACATCTTGCAGAGTGTGTGTGTACATTGTAAGAAATAATTTCTGTACTGTCTTAATGACCAACTATTTTATCTTAACATTTTATTTCCATTCTTTATATGAGTATATGATTTTTTCTCCATAAATCATGAGTCCAAACTAGAAGAAACCCAGAATTTTACTAAAATACATAAAGAATCTTTTCTTGTGCAATAATCTATGGAATCTTCAAAAATATTATGGTTTTAACTTGAGATTTTTAAAAGACTAATATTGATCATAGGAAGAAGTGTTTTCAGACATATAAAGATTCCTAAACATGTGTGATGAGCAGTTACCAAAGAGTTCCTGACACCAGAAAACTTAAGTAAATTATATATCAGGATTCTTCTAAAAAAGCTTAGTAGAGTATATGGGTTGGTAATTTAATTTGTAAGGTCATCTTGGACAAATTGGAAATAAAGTAATATTGAAATTTGATGCACCAGTGTTGATTTCTTTATTAAAAGTGATACACACGGGGCCGGCCCGGTGGCGCACTGCTACAGTGCGCCGCTTGGGAGCGCAGCAGCGCTCCAGCCGAGGGTTCGGATCCCACATACAGACCGGTTCCCGCTCACTGGCTGAGCGAGGTGCGGGTGCAACACTGAGGGTTGCGAGCCCGTTGCTAGTCCCGGTCCAGTATGGGCGTGACACTGAGGGTTTCGATCCATTGCCGGACACGAAAAAAGACAAGAAGGAAAAAAATAAAATAAAATAAAATAAAATAAAAGTGATACACACAATTTTAAAAACTAAAAATTCTAATTTGGATAGGAACATTCAGCAGCTTTTCCCTATGATTTTTATATTTGATTTCTATTATATATTTTTAAAAGTACTTACTCTTGCATGTATATTTTCCTGTAAGAGAGAGAGAAAAAAAGTAAATTCATGTAAATCCACATATTTGAGGTAATATGCAAACATTACAAAACCTTTTAGATTTTATTAGGTTAAGTAAAATAACAAGAAATTTTCATGAATGCCCTATAGAATTTGTCTTATTATTTTATAATCATGTCTCTAAAGTTTTGTTTTAGTATACATATTTTGCTTCATACTTTATGTAAGATTAAAAACTATTGATTAATATTACAGTTAGTAAATTTTGATAATTTAAAAATGGATTTAAATTTAAATTTTTGTTTACATTATGGAAAAATTATCATTTAAATATTTTAATAGGAGAGACACAGATTACAAGGTTACAAAGAAAATACTTAAGTGACCTGCAGAAAACTATTATCATGTGTTCCGTAATATGTCTATATAGGGTGTTATGCAGATTATGAACAATTTACCTATTCAATGAGTAATTCTCACAAAAGACTTCAGTAGGCATTGCTAGCTTTGGAGGCTTCCATTTTGCTGAAATAAGACTGAAATCCTTCCAAGGAAAAGCAACACATGCTCTGCCTCTGCTTCCATCTCCTCTCTACCCCATTTCCTACTATTTCACTTATTCCCCCAGTCTGTGGCAGACCCACAGGCTCCTTGCTCTTTCTAGAACCTGCTAGGCATGTTCTTGCCTCTAGGTCCTTGCACTTTCTTTTTCTTCTGCCTGGATTGCTCTTCCTCCACGTATCTGCATGGCTTACTCCCTTATCTCTTTCAGGTCTTTGCTCAGATGCCTCTTCCCAGTGAAGCCTTCCCTGACAACCTTTTAAAATTTGCACCTTGCCTCACACCATACTCCTTATCCCCATTTCCTGCTTTATTTCTCTTCATAACACTTGTCACTTTCTAACATACTATGTAAATTTCTTATTTAGTTTATTGTCTATCCCTCCACCCCACACAAGAATTTATGCTTCATTTGTTCACTGCTGTAGCCCTAGTACCTAAAAAAGTGACTGGCACTTGGTAGGAGCTCAAAACATACACTTCAAATTAATTAGCAATAAAAAAGTAGAAATTATTCAGGTTAAATTTAAAGAATAAAGGAGATGAAAAGTTTTCTCTAAAAGCTTCATGTGGCTATAGAGAAATAAAATAATAATCTGATCACTGTGGCCTCTGGTTTCTTATTTTTTTGGAATACAGCAAATCTTATGACCCCATCCCATGACAGTAGATGGTCTTTTTACATTTGGTGATTGAGAAAAAATTTAATAAATAACTATGCCCAATTTCGTAAATTTTAATGGATTTACTGTTTTTTTTATTAGTTCCAGTGCTATGTATATGTGGAAAACAGTGGTATAATCATGTAAAGCAATTGTTTCCTCAGTCTTCTGACATGTTATTGATAGGTTCTGAACATAACCGGCGCCATTTTAGGCAAGGTCAAGCACAAAATGGCCCCAACCCCTCCCCCCTTCCCTTTATGAGAAACCTCATGATTTCTGAGAAACAGAAACCCTTTTGCTTCCACAAGGGTGCAGTTCTCCATACTGGTTACATAGCTTCCATATTAGCATAATGCCCCTCCTTGATTATATCAGCCAGCCCTTGGCACCCTATATAAGCTCTTTCACCACTATACCTGGTGCTGTCCTCCATTTTGAGGGCAGCCCCAGCTGCCCTCCACTTTGAGCACAGCCTGGCAGATTCTTTTCCTTTAATAAAGCTTGATTGGTACTTGGCGTTTGGCTCACTTTCTTTCATTTTGGTGCCAAAATCTGGGCAGGGTTCTGGCTGACATTCTTGGACTATCCTCACCTGGTTTGATTGGCCCTGAGCCACCCTTCCCAGACCTGCTGAACCAGGTACCTCTGGGAGTCTCTCCTTTTGCCATTTCAGACCAATGCATCCAACATCAGCCTCGATTCAAGGTCAGTGGGTCTGTCCTACCTACTTCTATGGGTTCCCCTGACTGCTCTCTATGACTACTGTCTACTTCCCAAAGACCAGGCACCTGGCCGAGGGAACCTCTCTCGTGCCCCCCAGCTATTGGAGGATGCTCCTCTAGCTGGTCGGTGGCTTTTCTCTCTAAAAGAAGGTGCACAGCAAAGAGGATGCTCTTTGTTGACCCTCTTCTACTAGGACTGCCCCTTTCCTTTCTCACCCTCTAAATGGGATCCTCACAATCCAAACCTCCATGCTTTATGCCTCTGGGCTGTCTGCTGGCCAATTTCCTCCACATTCTATGCCTTTGGGCTGTCTACAATCTCTCGGCCTCCAGGGAGACATTAAAACTTGAACACCTTGTTTTTATAATCAGGTTTGGATCCCAGTGGCCAGAAGATGGCACTCTCGATTTAGATACTCTCTTAGACAACTTTTGTCACTGAAATGGCAAGCCAGAGAGATTCCTCATGTTCAAGCCTTTTTTCTGTCTCCAACTACAATCCTTCTCTCTCTGTCAAAACTCTCCTATGTCTCAAATTCTTCTAGTTCATGCCTGACCTCCCCTTCTGGACTTGGACCAATCTTCTGATCTGTCAGCCTTCCACCTTTTCTCCCTCTTCCCCCTACCTGGCCTCAAGACACTCGCCCTCAGCCACCCAACCCCTCTCCTCCCGCTTCATCAAGTAAGAATCTCACCTCAGCTCTGGCTCCTTTATACCCCCTCTGTGAAGTGGCAGAGACAGGGGGAATTGTCTGGGTCCACATCCCCTTTTCTCTTTCCGATGTCTTCCAAATTGAAAAATGACTGGGATCTTTCCACTCCAACCTAGACACATACCTTAAAGAATTCAGATATCTCACCCTGTCTTATGATTTCACCTGGCATGATATTTTTTTGATTCTCACTACTGCTTTGTCCCCTGAGGACAGAGAACAGGTCTGGGTAACTGCCCAACAACAGGCAGATGAGGTACATGCTCAAAATAATAGGCGGCCTGTGGGAGTCATGGCTGCACCTTGCATGGACCCAAATTGGGACTACCAGGCTGGCCACAGGGATTGGGATCTCTGGGATAACATGATCACACACTTGATTTACAGCCTCCAAAAGGCTGCTCACAAGTTGGTCAATTATGACAAGCTTAGAGAAATCACACAGAGATCCACTGAAAATCTTGGCGAGTTCCTAACCCACCTCTCTGAGGCACTACATAAATACACAGTATAGACTTCCTCAGTGCAGCTTTTAAGGTTTTTAGCAGTATAGAGACGAGGAGAAAAGAAAGATTGTTGCAAAAGAGATCAGGCCAAATACCAACTTCTGGCTAATGCCATCCAAGGATCACATAGTCCAAAGCTGGCTGCCTCTAGGGGCAAGCCACCCAGGAACTGCTTCAAATGCGATCAACTGGGCCACTGGGCATGGGCCTGTCATAATGCCAGGCTCTCTCCCAGGCCCTGTCCTCACTGCAAACATCCAAATCACTGGGAGTTTGACTGTTCCACTTACCAGGGAGGGAGTGGCCCAGTCCCCAACCTACAGCTTTGGCTTCATGGCCATCCCTACCAGAGCTGCTTGGCTTCACCCGTGAGGAGGACTGATGATGCCCAGGGCCTGAGGCCCCCACAGAGTTCATGCTACCACTCACTTACCCCCTCCTCATCCATGCCCTAAAAAAGGAATATCCGGTTGCTTGCCCCCTAACGTAATTTCTTGCATATTCATATTTTGGCTCATCCTGACATCCAGACAGATGGAGGGATGGATATGGGACTGGGACTAACTTTGGTGCCCCCTCAAGTTACATGGTCCCTGTGTAACTTGCCTCATAGCAGGTAAGCTGATCTCTTTTGTCATTGATACAGGAGCCACTTACTCTACCCTTCCTAAATATGCAGGACCAACAACCCCATCCTCTATCACAATAGTAGGGGTCATGAGATCAGAATACCACCTACAGATCACTCGACCCCTTTCCTGCACCCTACATGAAACCCAGTTCACACACAAATTTTTAATAATGCCTCCATTCCCAGCCCCCTTACTGGGACAGGACATTCTTTCCAAATTCAAAGCCACTCTTACCTTAAACACTTTAACTCCAGCTACAATACTCCTGTATTGGCCATCCCCAGACCTGGCCCCTGAGACTTCCACCTTCCCCTCTCCCTCAGACAAGGTTAATCCTATAGTATGGGACACCTCTTCTCTCTTCACTGCTACACACCTTTCCCTTATCCTTGTTAAATTATGAAACCCCTCTTTGTTCCCTAATGTCCCACAGTACCCCATCACTAACAAACACTTAATAGGCTTAAACCCCGTCATACACAAACTCCTTTCTTCTCATCTCTTATGGCCTACCTGCTCGCCTTTTAATACACCCATCCTTCCAGTTATAAAACCTAATGGCTCATACCATTTAGTGCAGGACTGATCCTGACACATGCCATTCCCAACTTACTTGGATAGTTTTGCCCCAGGGATTTCAGGATAGCCCCCACTTCTTCAGTTAGGTCTTAGCTCAAGACTTATCTGAACTTCCCCCAACCTCTAGCACTTTAATACAATACATGGATGACTTCCTCCTTTGTAGCCCTTCCTATGAAGATTCACAGGCCCACATTGTTGCTCTCCTTAATTTCCTGGCCTCCAGGGGATATAGAGTGTCCCCCAGCAAGTCTCAAATTTCTTCTCCTTCAGTTACCTATTTGGGAGTCCACCTCACCCCTAACACCAGAGGAATAATGGTGGATTGGAAGAGTCTAGCTTCTGAATTCCCTACTCCTACTACAAAGGGTGAAATCCTTTCTTTTTCAGGGCTCGCAGGGTGTCTTTGCCTATGGATTCCTAACTTTGGTGTGCTAGCAAAACCACTTTATAAGGCAGCCAAAGGGGATCCTGCCATTCCCTTAGATCCCACAAAGCCCATTCATTCCCTTCCAGTGATTAAAAGCTGTTCTCCTCACAGCCCCAGCTCTATCCCTCCCAAACCTATCTCATCCTTTTATCCTATACATCGCCAAAACCCAAGGATTGGCAGTCGGGGTTTGGGGACAAGAGGCAAGAG